GGTAGGCCAAAGTCATCCATAGAATTGGTGTGAATCACAGTTGATTTGTTGACAACTATCAACCACAACTGTATGTGTGCTTTTGTGAATTTGCATATATATATATTTGTTTTCCATAGATGTATGTGTATTGCTGTGTATGTATCTCATAGCTTACTGGCAAAGAATTCCACTACCTATGTAAAAATGTTCTTGTTGTTGTTATGTGCCATCAAGTCACTTGCAACTCATAGCGACCCTTATGTACAACAGCCCTAAACTCTGCTCTGTCCTGTAACAGTCGCACTGTCTCTGACACTCCCATCCCAATTACCCCAGTCACTGAATCAGTCCACCTCCTAGAGGACCTTCCCCTCCTGCGCTGTCCCTCCACCCTCTCAAACACGATGTCCTTCTCCAAGGACTGGTTTCTCCTTACAACGTGTCCAAAGTATGTTAGACGGAGCCTCAGAATCCTTGCATCCAAGGAGCCACCCGATTTAACCCTTTCCAGGATGAATCTGTTTGTTTTCCTAGCAGTCCATGGTACTCTAAATACTCTTCTCCAGCACCACAGCTCAAAGGCATCAATTCTCCTTCTATCCTCCTTGGTCATTGTCCAACTTTCTGATGCATAATAAGTGATTGCAAAGACCATGGCATGTATCAGACACACCTTAGTCTCTAGAGAGACACCATTGCTCTTCAGTATTTTGGGGAGGTCCATAACAGCAGGCTTTCCCATGGCAATACGCCTTTTAATTTCCTGGCTACTGGTGCCAAGAGTGTTGAATGTGGAGCCAAGCAAAGTAAAGCTGTGTACCATCTCAATCTCTTAACTATCCATCCTGATGATGCCAGTTGGTCCAGTGGTGAGAATCTTTGTGTTCTTGACATTGAGCCTCAGTCCATATTGGAGGCTGCAGTCCTTGACCCTCTGCAGTAAGCGCTTCACGTCCTCCTCAGTTTCAGCAAGCAGGGTTGTGTCATATGCATAACACAGATTATTGATAGATCTTCCACCAATCTTGACCCCACATTTCTCCTCATAGAGTCCAGCCTCCTGGATAATCTGTTCTGCATACAGGTTGAAAAGGTATGGAGACAGGACACATCCTTGTCGTACGTCCTTCCCAATTTTGAACCATGCAGTGTTTCCTTGCTCTTTTCTGACGACTGCCTCCTGGTCCAAGTATAAGTTTTGCATTAGAACGATCAAGTGTTCTGGGATTCCCATTCTTCTCTGAGTAAGCCACACTTTGTTATGATCCACACAGTCAAATGCCTTTGCATAGTCAATGAAACACAGATAAAGATACACTGTTCAAATATGCAAGGTGCTCTGCAGGAAAAAGATAAGCAGTGTCCTCATGTGTGAGAAATTTAAGGAAATTCTTTTGATCTTTATTCATTGGATTCATCATTTTCTGTTTACACACAATTCTGTTTCTAAATATCTGTTACCTTCCTTTTTAAATGGGAATTTTTGGTACTTCTGAATTATAATATTAATCCAATTATTGAAAGTTTATTCTGTATTAATGTATTTTATCAAGCGGAAAATTAATGTTTTGAAATGCAAAGCCTTAATATTAAAAATAAGATAAATTTATTTAGTTCCTGTTTTTTGCAGTTTTTGTTAAACACAGAAACACAATCATGAAATAGTCTTTTAAGAAAAAGACAATAGATTGAAAGAACACAAAATCAGCCATGCATTAAGATGTCAGTTGTTGCTCAGTTTAGTTTATGCAAAGACATTCTTTTAGTTCAAGTTTGCAATTCTCTTCATAAATATAGAAATATTTCTGACTTGATCAGTAAGGAGATACTTCTTACTCAACTTTACTCTTTTTTGGAATCTATTCTCTGGAGACTAAGGTGCGCCTGATACAGGCCCTGGTTTTTGCAATCACTTGTTATGCATCAGAGAGTTGTACAATGACTAGGGAGGATAGAAGGAGAATTGACGCCTTTGAGCTGTGGTGCTGGAGAAGAGTATTGAATGTACCATGGACTCCCAAGAAAACAAACAGATTCATCCTAGAGAGGACTAAACCAGGCTGCTCCTTGGAGGCAAGGATTCTGGGGCTTCGCCTGACATACTTTGGACATGTTGTAAGGAGAGACAGGTCTTTAGAGAGGAACATCATGCTGGGTAGAGTGGAGGGACAGCGCAGGAGGGGAAGACCCTCTATGAGGTGGATTGATTCAGTGACCGGGGTAATCGGGATGGGTGTGTCAGAGGCAGTGCGGTTGGCGCAGGATAGAGCAGGGTTTAGGGCTGTTGTACATAGGGTCGCTATGAGTCGCAAACGACTCGACGGCACATAACAACAACAACAACTACCTATTAGTATAATGAGACATAGTTAGGTTATAAATTTAAACAACTAAACATTTTAATTTTATTTTTCTGCCATGTTACAGAATTTAAAAACATACCAAAGTAGGTACTCAGACAGATTGCACAGAATTGAGAATGGCTTTAAGTAATTAAAAAGAACTAAAAGCATCCTTAAAATTATATGGCAGAAAAGCCAATATCAATAAATTCAAACAATACAGTAAAGAAATGTTAGGGTTATAATAAATAATTATTCAGAAGAATGTGTGTAGAAAAGTAAAAAATGAGCTATGATTTAAACATTTATACATGAAATATAATGGATATATAGACTGAGAACACCATTATTTTGTTTTTTAACTGCATTACACTATAGCAAAACCCTTAGCACTCATTGTCTTTGAGTCAAAACTGACTCTTGGCTTGCCTTTGCATTTCCATGGCTGTAGATCACAAGGCAGGAAATTGTCTTTTTCACACAGAGCATTTTCCAACATACCATCTGAAGTACTGTGTATAGTACTATGCTGCAGTTATTGCTGTGTACAATTTGGCACTGACTCATAGCTGACCCTCCAGTCATTTTCCAGAGGCAGAAAATTGTACAGGAGGAGTCTTCTGATATTTTAACCCTGGAGCAGCTGGTGCATTTAAACTGGGTGCCTTTGTGTTTGCATCATAACTCCATACCATTAGGCTACAAGTGCTCTCTGCGTAACACTTTTCCTGTGATGTACTGTCAAGTCAGAACTGACCCATAGCTGACCTTCCAGCAGGTTGTCAGAGACAGTAAATTGCATGTGAGGAGATTGCCCATCTTTTACCCATGGAGCACCTGGTGGATTCAAACCTCATACCTTCAGGTTGGTAACCCAGCTCCTTATGATGCAAATTAGGAGCTCAGGAATTTTCCTCCCATGCTAACTAAAGCAGTTTGAATCCACCAACTGCTCCTAGGAACAAAGGTGGACAGTGTCCTTCAGTAAAGGTTTTTATCCCTGGAAACCCAGTGGGGTCAGAATAGTCTCAACAGTAGTGGATTGAATGGGTTTGAAAGCAGAGTCTCCATATGTCCCACGTCCAGTTTTCTTTATTAATAATATCTTACACTAATAATAATCATTTACAATAAAATCTTACTATATCTTTTTCTGTTTCATTTTTTATATTAGTTTATTTACAAAATTCTTTGAATTATGAATGCATAATTTTTCACACCAGATCCTTCCCATTTCCCTCACCCCCCCATCATATTGTACGACCCCATGATTAATACTTCCTCCTTCCTCCCCTCCCCCCACCCTGGCAGCTCCTCACCCACATGGCTTCAACTCTGTCCCCTGCTTGGCTCCCCATACTTATTATACAGTCGTGGTTTTATTCAGTATTTGTCCTTGTCGAAGTGAGTTAGTTCACTCAGCATAATGTTGTTCAGTCCCTCTGAAATTAGGTGATAATTTAATACAGGTTTACATACAAAGTTCATAAAGTTCATACATTTTATTTTTCACACAGGATCTTTCCCCTTTTCTTTACCAATCCCTTTTTCCAGTTATCAAATTGTGTGACCCTATGTTAAAGTCCCCCACATCCCCTCCTCAGATCCTTGTACGTGCTTTACAGTAATGGTCCAATACAGTATTTGTCTTTATGAGACAAAATCATTGCTCCTGTGTGACACTTACTATTCCATTGCATGAATGTACAATAATTTCTCAATCCATTCAATTGTGGTTGGACATATTGTTTGTTCTATTGGCAATCCATGAGATACTCAGTACTCCAACACCACAATTCAAAGGTATCAATTCTTCTTCTGCCATCCTTATTCATTGTCAAGCTTTTAGATGCATAGTAAGTGATTGAAAAGACCAAAGCCTGACTTAGATGAACCTTAGTCTTCAAACTAATGTCATGTCTCCTCAGTATTTGGGAGAAATCATTGACAGTGGACTTGACTATTATGTTAAGTTAGTACCTTGGTTGGGAGGGACTGGAGAGGATTATGCTGAATGAACTCAGTCCCATAAGGACAAATATTATATAAAACTATTGTTGTATAATGAGTCTGAGGATATGGGGGGGTGTGAGTGGAAGCAGAGGAATGAAGATGTGGGTGGGGATGGATTAATCATGGGATTGTACAATTTCATGAGGGTTGAAGGAAATTGGAAGAATCTTGTCTGAAAAACAATGTATTTGAATTTTGTAAATCAACTAGTATTTTAAAAAAAGATGACTTTGAAAAAGTGCAAGCATTCCCTTCTTAATTGTAAACTATGTAGTATTCCTTGGACCTTGAACTTACGGACCACCAAGAAAACAAGTAGGTCTGTCTTAGAAAGGATGAAACCAAGTTACTCCTTAGAGGCTAGGATTTTGAAGCTCTGTCTCATATACTGGGCACATAGCCAGGAGGGACAAACCTTGGAGAAGGACATCATGCTCGGAAGGATAGAAGGACAGGACAGGAGAGAAAGACCTCAGATAAGACGGATTCATACAGTAACTGAGGTGGTGGAGATTGGTATGTTGCAACCAGTGAGACTGGCTTCAGACAGGACAGGCTTCAGAGCTGCTGTGCATAGGGTCACTATAAGTCACAGACAACTTTACGGCACATAACAACAATACAACATTTTTGTTATTGTGTAAACTTGCTCAGTTTACACAGTGGCCTCCTAGTCTAAGTGTCGGTTACTCATGAGCACAATTAAGTGCTCTGGCATTCCTTCTCTTCTCAATGGTAGCCATAACTTGTTAGGATCCACACAGTCATGTGCCTTTACCTAGTCAATAAAGCATAAATAGATATGCTTCTGGTACTCTTCACTTTCAGTCAGGATCCATCTGACAGCAGCGGTCATGTCCCTGGTGCCATGACCTCTTCTGAATGTGCTTTCTCCATCTTTTTGTAATTCTTCCTGGGTCACTCAATATATTACCCATAGCATGTCTCAGTATTGCAACCCAAGACTTCATTTTCCCCCCATTCTTCCAGCTTGAGAAATGCATAGTGAGTTCTTCCTTTTTCCCCCTGAAATTCCAGCTTTCTGCACATTCCATTATAACATTTTGCTTTGTCTTCTCAAGCTGCCCTTTGAAAACTTCTGCTCAGCTCTTTTATTTCAGCATGTTTTCCCTTTGCTTTGGCTTCTCAATGCTCTACTGCCATTTTTAGAGTCTCTTCTGACATCCATTTTGGTTTTTCTTTCTCTCCTGTCTTTGTAATGACTTTTTGCTTTTTTTCATGGATGATACCCTCGGTTCCATCCCACACCTCATCTGGTCTTCAATCATTGGTGTTCAATGCTTCAAACCTATTCTTAAGATGATTTTGAAATTAAAATAGAATAGATTCAAGATCATATTTTGGTTTTCGTCGACTTATTGTCATTTTCTTTTGCCTCAGTTTGAAGTTGGACTTGAATAATTGATTGTCTTACCCACAGTCTACCCCGACCTCATTTTGACTGCCAATATTCTATTTGATATGCCAGTTTTGACTACATCTGTTAAAGGAGGAAAGATTTCTCATTAGATGGCACATCATGTCAGTTCTGAATTATAGTGACCTCCTTCAACAGAGTAGAGCTGCTCCTTAGGTCTCCCCAAGTTGTAAATCTTTACAGGAACTACCTCATGTTTTATTTGGTTGTGTGTTTGTGGTTTTTTTAAATTGTTGTTGATTTTTGGACTTTGTTTTGTGGAGCAACTTGTGGGTTCAAAACCTTGACCTTTTGTATAGTAGTTCAGTGTTTATCCCATGGTGACATGAGGAAAATTCTAAACTTATTAAGTGCCTAGTATTCTCTCTGGCTCTGTATAGTCCATTGCAGTTGCCATCATCTGAGCTTGCTTTTACAAACTAGTTTTTTTCTTTTTTAGCAAGAAAAGGAAAGATCCAGCGATGATCTGGAAAGACAGGTCAATGCTGGGCATAATTAAATGTTGATTGATTTTATAAAATATAATAAATTGGAGTGATTGCATGAAACACAATGTGAATGAAGGATAGTGTGAAAAACAATATATGCAGACTTTGTAAGCAAACCAATATAAAATAAATATAAACAAAACTGATATAGAGTGTATTTAATTAGAGAATATAATCATGTTATAAGAGTTATAGAATATTAAGTGCATTTTAAATTGATCATTTAAGGGAGTTTTATTTAGAGTGTGAGAACATGATCTAGTGTGCTAGATAGAATTTAACTTTAGAACTTAACTCCAGATGAGTTGTGGATGACACTAAGAATATCATCCATAAAGAGAGCAAAGGTCATTACAAAGAGAGATGAGAAAGGGGAAAAAAACCAAAACCCCAAAGTGGATGTAAAAAGAGACTCTAAAAATTTCACCAGTATGTTGAGAGGCAAAAACAAAGAAAAAAGGATACTGAAGTACAGAAGCTGAACAGATGATTTCAAAGGGCAGCTTGAGAAGACAAAGCAAAATATTATAATGGAATGTGCAGAGGACTGGACTTAAAAAAAGGAAGAACTTACTCTGCATTTCTCATGTTGAGAGAACTGAAAAACAAGTTTAAGCCTTGAGTATCAGTGTTGAAAGATGCTATAGACAGTATATATTGAATGACCCAGAAGCATCAAAAGAAGGTGGAGGGAATGTACAGAGTCACGGCAACAAAAAGAACTGATACTAAAAATTTCAGTACCATTTTAGCAGTAGCCAATGGTAGAGGAGGAGAAAGTTGAAGCTGCACTGAAGACATTGGCAACAAAGGTTCCAGGAATTGATGGGATAACAATCAACTTAATTCAGTTAACAGATGCACTCATCAGTCAATGCCAGAAAATTTGGAGGACAGCTGTCTGGCTGATGATTTGTAAGAGGTCCATGTTTCCTATTCCCAAGAAGGGTGTTCAGTAGATTGTGGAAACTATGAAATAATATCATTAATATCAAATGCAAGCAAAATACTGCTGAAGATCACTGAAAAATTGTTAGAACACTACATAGGAAACTGCCAGAACTTTAAGCAGTATTTATAGGAGTGTGTGGCATCAGAGACATTATTGCTGATGTCAGATGGATCTTGGCTGAAAGTAAAAAGTACCAGAAGAGTATCTATTTATGCTTTATTGACTATGCAAAGACACATGACTGGGTGAATCATAAAAAAAGAAGCATAAAAGCCCAGACAAACAAAAAAAAATCTGTGGCTAACATTGGGAAAAATGGGAATCCCAGAACACTTAATTGTGCTCATGCAAAATCTGTACCTAGGCCAAAAGGCTATTGTGACAATAGAGCAAGGGAACACTACATGGTTTAAAATTGATAAATGTGTGTATAAGGGTTGTATTCTCTCTTCATACTTATTCAGTTGTATGCTGAGCAAATTATTTGAGAATCTGGTCTCTGTGAAGGATATGACATCAAGATCAGAGGAAGAAATAAATCAGTATAATTTTTAAAAAAAAACAGGTATTATGATTCTTTTGGTTTAGTAACTCTACTTCTTGGCATATTTTTGATTCTCTTAAGAAAAGTGAAACAATGAATGAATGAAAACCAAAGTCTCTGTAAACGTTCATTAAAATTAATTTTTAAAAAAGAGACAGAACAAGAAAGGGAGCAAGAAAATGAGAAAGAAAACAACTACACCACTCACTTTCCTTTTCTAGCTTCTGTCTATCATCTCACAGCATTCTGGAAACTCACATGTCTAATAAAGCCAATAGTCTGTCAGAATAGAGCGTTTTACCTGGTCCTTCACTCATATGACCATCATAACCAAGTGGACAGTGAGAGCCACAGCTGTAGTTTTCTGAGTTTTGTTGTTGTTGTCAATTGCTGTCGAGTCGAGCACAAATCACAGCAACCCTATGAACAAAAGACCTAAACTCTTTCCATAACTATCATCATTTCTCTATGTTGATAGTTTCCAGAGGCATTTTGTTTAGGAAGTGGATTTCACTCTTGCCTCGAAACCTGTTTTATAAAACCAAAACCAAACCCATTAAAACAAACAAAAAATAAGTGTAAGACCTGTCAATAACCTTTGTTATGCAGATGACACACTTGGTTATTGAAAGTGAGGAAGACTTGAAGTACTTATTGTAAAAGATGAAGGCATGCAGTCTTCAATGTGGACTGCATCTCAATGTCAAGAAAACAAAGATTCTTACTGTTGGACCAATAGACAGTGTCATGATGGATGAAGAAGAGATTGAAACTATCAGCAGCTTCATCTTGTTTGAATCCACAATTAACACCCTTCAAATAAGCAGTCAGAAAATAAGGAGACACATTGCACTGGGAAAATCCACAGTTAGAGACCTCTCCAAATTACTGAGGAGTAATGATTTCAGTTTGAGGACTATGTTGCATCTGATTCAGGCCACAGTCTTTGTATTTGAGATCTGACAAGTTAATAAGGATAACAGAAGAAGAATTGATGTCTTTGAGCTATGATGTTGGAAAAGAGTACAGAACATCCCATGGACTGTCAAGAGAACAAATATTTCTTGGAGAAAATGCAGCCAAACTGGTCCTTGGAGGCAAAGATGATAAAGCTTCATCTCATTCTTTGGGAATGTTGCCTGGAGAGGCTGTTCCTTGGAGAGAGACATAATGCTTGGAAAGGCAAAGGTGGGTGAAGGAGAGGAGAACCCTTGGCCAGGTGGATTGACACAGTGACTGTCACAATGGTCTCTAGGTTTCAGGAAGTGTAAAGATGGTATAGGATAGGAAGGAGTTTGTGTCTTGTTTATAAAGGTCACTGTGGGTCGTACTTGACGGCACCTAACAGCAAACAACATCAACTCTAAGTAATGACTTCTTTTTAAGCTGGGTAGTGTACTATCTTATTTTATTCCATTTTGTTTAAATGAAAATACTTTTGAATAATATAAAAATAAATTCTAAATCATGCTTCTATAATAATAATAATAATATCAAAGTGAACTCACTCCAAGTTGATTCCAGCTTATGGCAGCTCCTGGGTTTCTGATGTTGTAAATCTTTATAGAGGAGGCTATGCATCTTTCTCCTTTGTAGCAGCTGGTAGATTAAAACTGCTGACTGTTTGGTTACTAATGCATCATGTAACACATCACACCATTGGAGGGCCTTCCAATAATGCCTTGTCCTTTTTGGTCTTTATTTTTATGCAAAATTGGCATCCCTTACCTCTATTTTCCTATGATAAAGCTAATGGGGAAATAAACCTCTTAACAGATATTATAGGCAAGTGTACTAGATTACTTCATGGACTTTAGTTGTTTTGGACTTTTGTGAGTTTTTAAAAAAATATAATATGCTGGGCAATGAACAAAAAAGACAAAAGATTCATTTAACCTATTAATTGTGGTGTTGCCGAAGAATATTGAGTATACTGTGCACTGCCAAAGGAGCAAGTACTTCTTTTCAAGCAAGTGTAGCAAAAATGTTCCTTAGAGGTAAAGATGGTAAAACTTCATCTAACATACTTTGGGCACGTGGTTAGGAGGAACGAGCCCTTGGAAAAGAGAATGTTAGATAAATCCTTCAATGAGGTGGATTGGCACAGAGACTGCAAATGGGGTTGAACGTAGTGGAGATTGTGAACCTGGTGCAAGATGGGGAAAGTTTCTTAGACTCACTGTGAGTTGACCTCAACTTGAGGGTACCTAACAACAACAATCAGGTGGACAACAAATAAGGCTGACAAAAT